AAGAAATCTGTGGCCAAATCCTTAAAGAAGAAGGAATCCTACTCCAAGAAGGAGTTGGAAATTCTCTTTTAGTTCTATTCAAACAAGGAGATAGCAATTTTGTTTATTCCTTCTTAAGTTTGGAATCTTACTGCATTAAGGAATAGTCAAGTCAATTCCTACTAGGAAGTGCTTGAACTGATCTGTTCATTTTAATTTGTTTAGGTTTGGTTCTTTTAACGGTATTCTTGTTCATTCCTTTGTGTCTTTCTATTTCCTTTAACTCTTGCAGATTTGTTGAAGTTAGATTGCTGCAAAATAACTTGAATTGAACTTGTTTAGTTCAACAACGAACTAAAAGAGGAATGTTGAGTGAGGGAAAAAGACAAGAGGTGTGAGCAACACTTGAGAGAAAAGCCAAGTTCTACAGTGTGCAAAACATGAGCGTTGAGTGCCATTCTGTGAGAGAGTGGAGTGAAACACATAAGGGAGTGTTGTGAGAGGTCCTTTTATTCTTTTGTTTCTAACATTTGTTGCAGGTTTCAACCATGTCAAGCGGTGATGACAAATCAACCACTAGAAGACACCATGTGGATGAATCTCTCATGCTCAAAGCAATGCAACAACAATTTCAGAGGCTGGAACATCATGTTTGGTGAGATTAGAGACAAAATGGAGAATCAAGATGCAGTTATAGCCAATTTATACCAAATACAGAAGGGAAGTCCGAATTTGCGTAGGAATGACGCTAATGATGATCTCAATGACGATTATAAAGATGCATTCACAACAATGATGCCCAGAACTCAAATTTCATCATGGACAGATTTATGAGAGCAAGAGGGGATCAAAAAGGTAGGTTTAACCGAGGAGAGCAAAATCTGATGAGGTAGGGAGATCAGCAAGATCGTGACTTGTGTAGTATCAAGATGAAGATTCCTCCGTTTCAAGGCAAAAATGATCTAGATGTGTATTTGGAGGGGGAAAAAAAGGTGGAATTGGTGTTTGATTGCCATAACTATTCTGAGGAGAAAAAGGTGAAACTGGCAATAGTGGAATTTACTGATTACGCTGTGGTGTGGTGGGATCAGCTTGTGCTTAGTCGACATAGAAATCGAGAGCGTCCTGTTGACACTTGGGAAGGGAAAACGATTTGTTCCCAGTCACTACTACCGTGATCTCTATTAGCGATTGCAGGGTCTTACTCAAGGGTCCAAAAGCGTTGAGGATTTTCAAGTATAAGCAAGGAAAAGAAAACATTGTGGCTGATGCATTATCTCGCAGGTACACACTTATCTCCACTCTAAGTGCAAAGTTATTGGGATTTGAGCACATTAAAGAATTATATGCTAATGATCTAGATTTTGGTAACGTGTTTAATGCATGTGAGAAGGCAGCATTTGATAAGTTTTATAGGCATGATGGGTTCTTATTTAGAGAAAATTGATTATGTGTGCCTAACTGTTCAGTAAGAGAATTGTTAATAAGGGAATCACATGCGGGTGGCTTAATGGGACATTTTGGAGTTAGGAAAATTTTAGATATTCTGAACGATCACTTCTTTTGGCCACATATGAAACGTGATGTTGAAAGGATGTGTGAAAGGTGTGTAACATGTAAACAAGCAAAATCTAGAGTTTTACCACATGGTTTGTATACTCCGTTACCCATACCTACTGAACCTTGGGTTGATATGGATTTTGTTCTGGGCTTACCAAGGTCGAAAAGAGACCGCAATTCTATTTTTGTTGTTGTTGACAGGTTCTCGAAGATGGCACACTTCATTCCATGTCATAAAACCGATGATGCAAGCAATATTGTTGATTTATTCTTCAAGGAGCTTGTTCATTTACATGCCCCCTTCCCAAGCATCAAAAACACTTGATGTCTCGGTTTTTGCCTTGCGTATTATCTATTTTACTCTTCTCATTGTTGCCAACTTCTTTTGACTTAGATGCTGCAGTTTTAGGCTTAAAAGCATAATTTTCTTCCTTTTTGCTCCAATTCAGTTTCCAAGAAGATGAGGAACCTGAATTTTGCCCAGTTCTGGTGGTGGCTCCTTTACGCTTGGGTTGCCGTTCTATTTTCATCGCCATATGCACCATATCTTCTAATTCCACATAATGCTGCAGCTCCACCACATTAGCTATATCATGAGTTAAGCCATGCAGAAACCGTGCCATAGTTGCTTCTCTGTCCTCTTCCACATTTGCTCTAACCATTGCGATTTCCATCTCTTTGTAATATAATCCTCAATGCTTTTGGACCCTTGAGTAAGGCCCTACAATCGTTGATAGAGATCACGATAGTAGTGACTAGGAACAAATTGTTTTCTCATCACAGCTTTCATCTCTTCCCAAGTGTCAACAGGATGCTCTCGATTTCTACGTCAACTAAGCACAAGCTTATCCCACCACACCATAGCGTAATCGGTAAATTCCACCATTGCTATTTTCACCTTTTTCTCCTCAGAATAGTTATCGGAATCAAACACCAATTCCACCTTCTTTTCCCACTCTAAATGCACATCTGGATCATTTTTGCCTTGAAACGGAGGAATTTTCATCTTGATGCTACCTAAATCACAATCTTGCCGATCTCCCCACCTCATCAGATTTTGCTCTCCTCGGTTAAACCTACCTTTTTGATCCCTTCTACCTCTCATAAATCTGTTCATGCTGAAATTTGAGTTCTGGGCATCATTGTTGAATGCATCTTCATAATGAGATCATCATTAGCGTCATTCCTACGCAAATTCAGACTTCCCTTCTGTATTTGGTATAAATTGGCTATAGCTACATCTTGCTTCTCCATTTTGTCTCTAATCTCACCAAACATGATGTCTAGCCTCTGAAATTGTTTTGCATTGCTTTGAGGATGAGAGATTCCTCCACATGGTGTCTTCTAGTGGTTGATTTGTCATCACCGCTTGACATGATTGAAACCTGCAATGAATGTTAGAAACAGAAGAATAAAAGGACCTCACAACAATCCCTTACGTGTTTCACTCCACTCTCTCACAGAATGGCACTCAACGCTCGTGTTTTGCACACCGTAGAGCTTGGCTTTTCTCTCAAGTGTTGCTCACACCACTTGCCTTTTTCCCTCACTCAACTTTTCTCTTTCAGTTCGTTATTGAACTAAACAAGCTCAATTCAAGTTATTTTGTAGCAATCTAACTCCAACAAATCTGCAAGAGTTAAAGGAAACAGAAAGACACAAAGGAACGAACAAGAAAAGCAATAAAAGAACCAAACCCAAACAAATTAAAGCGAACAGATCAGTTCAAGCACTTCCGAGTAGGAATTGACTTGACTATTTCTTAATGTAGTAGGGTTCCTAACTTAGGAACGAATAAACAAAATTGCTATCTCCTTGTTTGAATAGAACTCAAAAAGAATTTCCAACTCCTTATTCGAGTAGGATTCCTTATTCTTTAAGGATCTGGCCATAGATTTCTTGTCTATATAAGGAATTCCAACCACAGAATTGTGTGCTTGTTTCTCTCTCTCCTTTTTTTTTCTTTTATTTTTTTTGCGTCTTTTTTTTGGCAATCCTCTTCCTTTTTTTTGTACGACTTCTTTCTTTTTTTCTCTTTTTATTTTTATTTTTATTTTTATTTTTATTTTCGTGCTTTTTCTCTCTCTTTTTTTCTTTTTGAAACAGCAACGCAAATTCAGAAGAGCAAAATAAGAAAGAGAAGAATGATATTTATTTTTTTTTTTGTTTTGCTTTTTACGATAAAAACTGAAAATTAAAGATAGGTTAAATACCCTTTTTGGTCCCTCTACTATAGGAAAAAGCCCTTTTTTGGTCCCT